TAAGTTCCGTTATTGAGTATTATAGGTGTGTAAACTCAGCAAAATATTCTAAGAGTCCAGTAGCCCATAATAGCATTGGGTCTTCTGTTTAACTGGCAATGTCAAAGAATGGTTTTAAAAGTCACAATAAATCACCATATCATTAGGCAGAAGAACCACCAGGTTCATCCGGAAAGCCAGCATGACAAGGTCCTCCAGCAGAATAGCCCAAGGGAACCAGCAGCTCCCTAACAGCTTCCCAATAGCTTCTCCAATCAGCTTCCCTAACAGCCTCCTCCTCCCTCCTTCCTCCTCCCCCTCCCCCTCCCCTCCCTCCTCCCTTCTCCTCCTCTTCCTCCTTCTCTTTCTGCCTCTTATGCTGCTGGCAACAACCCTCAGGTGGGCCTCCCACACCCAGCACCACGCTAGCTCCGTTCAGCTGGGTGTAACAAGTTGACCACCAGTTGGTAATCCACCGTACTGGCCCATTCTATTCTTGTATTCAAGCAATAACATATGGCCCTATACTTTTTCTTACATACTATATTATTATGGGCTTTTATTCTGAGCCATCTGTCTTCCAGGCTGGCCCTTGAAAAGGCTGGTGACATTAGGTAGAGTCTTACCCATAGTCTTGCAGGCATAGAAACCTCTACCAGGCAGAATGAAATGTTTTGAGAACGGGTGGGGTGAGGTGGGATGTCCCACTTCCTGATGTTCCTGCTTGAAGAATAGCCCTTACGCTATCCATGGTGAGCCGTCATGTGCCACCAAATGGCACCAAGATGCACTGGGGCAGAGGGCAGGGAAGACCCACCTGGCCTCAGGTGGTCTCTGCTGCTCCTCCGTGTGTGGCAGCTGCCCTTCGAGCCCCTTGTCAGCTCCACCACCCCCATCTGACCTGCCTCTTTCTCACAAAGCTCAACTGCAGAAATCCCTGGCCACTCCCACACCTGCAGATGGAAAGACTCGCTTTCCGCCTTCCCAGGCGGCCCCCAGGCGCAGGCGCCACACCAAGCCTGCGTAGACATTTTGTGCTTGGGAATAACTCTCCAGCGATCTCCAGTTCTGACAAAAGCAATAGACGTTTTAAGTCACTCAAGGCTAGGGCACGTTTACCTTTGAAGCAGATAGAATCCGTTTCTTGTCGTTACTAATAGCAACATCCATCACCCAGTCATTATGGCCCTGAAGAAAAATAAAAATTTAACAAGGACCCCCTAGAGAAAGTACCTTTATAAAAATAACAGAAACAAAGTTAGAATCAATGTTGCTTCCATTTAAGAGCAATAACTGTGCTTTCTGTTCCCTCAACATTTAGGGTAGATACATACTATAAAGATAGGTGATATATGTATATCGCAGTACTGTATATGTTTTTAAAAACACTTCTGTGGTGCTCAGAAGGATAGAAATAAAGGGTTATATCTGCATCGAGTCTCAAGCTTTTGTTTGCATTCTTTGTTGTAGAAAATGTCACCCAGAGGTCCCCCTAGTGAGGGGGCTTTTGGCTTCATATTAATGCACACCACTGTGACCCACAGTGCATGAGCGAATGGTGGGGGCTGGCGCGGCTTCATGGCATCTGGCCAGCAGCTCTGTCATCCTCTGGCCTCTCCCTTGTGCAGAGAGGAGGAAGGTGAGGCAACAGGCATGGTCGGAGGACAGGGAGCATGAGAGGTTACAGTGCCGCATATAATGAAAACAAATTCGAGGGTGCAGGAATAGAGAG